GCAAAAAAGTGTAACTTGGAATCGATGAAATACAATGCCTACATTCAGACATATTATCAACCAATAAAGGACAAGAAAAGGCCTTTTCCAAAACTCCGTAAGTCTGCTACCCATGACTCTTCCAAGAAAAACTTACACGAGTCGGTCCTCTCACAGCACAAGGGAGAAATCTAAACAGACAACATGAGCCACAGGAGTCCTGTATGAGTAACAGAACTAAAAGAGGCATAATGTACACATGCTGGGAATAAAGTCCAAATAAAGTCTAAAAACTGTATGTGTGTACATGCACATATACACATATATACAATAATGTATATGTATGTGTCATTAAGCTGGAATGCCTAAACAGAGCCATATTTTTTTAATTTTTTCATCTTTCAATGAAAACTGACATTCAATATTCTATTAGTCTCAGGTGTACAGCACAGTGGTTAGACATTTGCATAACTTACGAAGTGATCCCCCCAATATGTCTAGTACTCACCTGACACCATACATAATTATTACAATATTTAAAGAGCAAAGTTGTCAGGACACTTGGTAATTCCTTTTTCTGTGGGTCCAGTTATGCTACTTATTGTAGAAAGTGTAACATTTACATAATCATCCTACCATGCAAATGCCATTTACTGGTTTTCAAGTTTTAGAATCAATCTATAGATGAAGCACAGGAAACTTAAAGAGTTAAGCAACAGAATGTAAATGACATAAGTAACATCAGTAGACAACATTCAACAAGTGGGGCTGACTCGCTGTACTTCATCTTACATACCAGCCAGTCAATGGATGCTGTCCCAAACTAATAAATCAAGAAATAGAAACGTAAGTTAATATATAAGTGCCTAAGTGTAATTTAATGTAATATAAGTGTATTTTAAATTGTTGGCTGTGGCTGTTTCTGAAGAGTAGGATTGATTTTTGTTATCTCCTGTTCTGTCTGAATTTTTTTTTTTTTTTTTTTTACTGTGTGCATGCATTATTAGAAAAAAAATCCCCCATAGAATTTAAAGGAGAACCTGGCGAAGTTCCCAGGATGTGGCAGGTGCTCTCTCTACATAAGAAAGAGTTGTCTCATTCTAGCTTCCAAAAAAAAGCAAACAAGTTTTCCAAAGATTGGGAGTCTCATTTCCATCTTTATATACCAAGAAAAAATGAACTGATTTGTATCTAATATCACAGAACCAGTTTTACTCCCACCCCCCAAAAAAATTAATTCACTGGAAGCTGTACCTGACAGGTCCTTAGAACACGCAGCCAGTTTTTCTAAGTGACTATTGATTTTCTCGATGGCTTTGAAGTTCTTATTCCTCTTCAGGACATCCACGGGGGTCCGGGACTGTCGGTCCAGCAGGGTGGGGTCTGCCCCAAAGCGCAGGAGCATCTGCACATCCTCTGTTTGTCCTAGGGCAGGCCAAAAAGGAAAAGGGGACATTGTCATGGTTCCTTCCCTAAGGAGATGTCCCTATGAGTGCTCGTCCTCCCAGTTTCCTGCCCAAGCAGCCCAGGGCAAGGGGACCAAGGTCCCTCTGCCTACAGAACCTGAACTGCTGGCCTTGGGCAATTCACCCAACTGTCCGAAGCAAGGAGTCCTGTGTGGAGTGAGAAGGACAATAGCTTTCAAGAGGTTTAGAAGTGCGCTCCTCTATACCTTTCTCCCCTCTCCTTGGCAACAAGCAAGGAGAGGGGGAATCTGGTTACTAGGCAACAGTTACAGCTGCAAGGATAGCAGCAAGCTGTGACTTTAGATTTCTTTATTCCCTGGAGAGGAAACAAAATATTCTTCCAAAAAAAGCCTGTCTGGGGACAGGAGAAGAAAGTGGTGATTGCTTTCACATCAGGGTCTTTTTGTCGTCACTGTTTCCACCCTCCCAGCCACTAACCTCTGGCTGCCAGCTCTGTTTACTGCTTTGATGAATCTATTTGCCAGGCATCAAGGTGTCTCTGTGATCAGAGATGCAACAGTTTTCAGAAATGGAACAGGTGTATCTCTGGGGTACAAAAACTTATGTGGGCATGGAGAGTTAAATGAATCAATGCCTGATCCCCAGCTTCCATACCCATGCCTTCCTAAAATTCACTGCCTTGACCAGGCACTTGTCCAGGTATTGTCCTGCTCATGGTGGTGTCCTTTCCCATCTTCCCAGTAACAACTGCCCTTCTTCCCTTTACAAAACTAAGACAAAATTTAAAAGTTCTACTTTTTTCTCCCCCATCGAATATCTCACACTCGCAGGCAGAATTCTAAGACACTTCTTAGATTCCCAGCACCTGGTATACACATACCTTCTCCCAGTTCTTCAATCAAATACTAATCCAGGTACTGCTTTGATGAGGCTCTGAAAATGTAATTAAGGTCCCAAAACAGCTGACCTTAACATAGGGAGATTTTCCAGGTAGGCCTGACCTAGTCATTTGAACTTTAAAGGTCAAAAATGTAGAGCAGAGATTCAAAATACAACAGGGATCTGACACACAAGAAATTCTCCCCTGCCGGCTTTGAAGATAGAGGGCGGCCCCATGACAAGGAATGTGTGTGGTCTGTTGAAGCTGACAGCAGCCTTTGGCTGATAGTGAGAAAGGAAATGGGACCCCAGTCCTACAACCACAAGGAACTAGATTCCGCCACAACCATGTGAACTTAAAGGAAGGCCTGGAACTCTAAGTAAGAACACAGTCCCAGCCAATACCTGATTTCAGCTTTGAGAGACACTGAGCAGAAAACTCAGTCATATGGAAGCCCATCTTCTAAAAGGGAGGCTGCTCTGTGTCCTCTAGGGAGGAAGAGGGATGGAACCCCATTCCCATCCTGTCACTCATCTGGAGAGTGACACAGGTTCTAGCAGCCTGAGCTTCGTCATCTGTGAAACTAGCCTCCTGATACCTTCCTCACAATTGTCCCAGAGGGTGTATGAGAAAACCTGCCTGAGTATATGGCATGTGGTGACTCAATGACCCTTGAAGTGTTGGGACACAGCAGCAGGGGCTGGCTGAGCCTCGGGGCCAAGGCTGGCATTGTGAAAAGTCATTTCTCATTGTTTCTCCTAATAAGAATATAGGCATCTTTTTGAAGGAAGCAAGTATTTCTCAGACATGCCTTCAGTTCAAAGTTTTTAATACATACAAAGTAGACTTTTTTAAAAACTGAATAGACAGTGTGTGTGTGTGTGTGTGTTTTTGTTCCCTCTAGCTCTATCACCCGAAATACATGCTCACAGTTGGAGCTTTATCCTCAGTTTAGACCGGAGCTGGACTTCCAATCTCAAGGTTAGATATCCCAGAAAATGTGCTTTTATATCCTAGAAAAGTGATGGATACAGAAGGATTGCTCCAGTTAAGTGAAAATCCAGAAACGCTGGCTGTACCCACAAAGTCAAGCTCCCAACCTCCATCCTTCCCAGCCCCCTTGCTGAGCCCCCATCTGAGATTCTCAGAACTGAGATCCTGAACCAGGCCACCAGGTGGCACCACGTCTATCTCCGTTTTTGTTCTTTTTTACTGAAAAGGAGTACATTTTGCAGAGTGAAAAATATCATGAAACAGTTTGTTTACTAAGATACCAATTATGTTTCAAATATTCATATGTACATTAAAGCAGTTCCCTCTGCTGCTGACCCTCCACCAAAAAAAAAGAAAACTCAGTCACATCACTCTGGACTATTGACCCATAGAACTGTGAGCTCATAAATGTGTTGTTGCTTTTTTTTGCTTTTTAAATGTATCTTTATTGATTTCAGAGAGAGGAAGGGAGAGGGAGAGAGAGAGATAGAAGCATCAATGATGAGAGAGTCATTGATCGGCCGCCTCCTGCACGCCCCCGACTGGGGATGGAGCCCGCAACCCGGGCATGTGCCCCGATCGCCTGGATCCTAGGTTGCTGCTCAACCTCTGAGCCACACCCGGCCGGGCATGAGTGTTGTTTTAAACCACGTAGTTTATGGTGGTCTGTTACATAGCATAGAAACTAACACAGTTACCATAGCATATTGTCCCAAAAGAGGTGAAAGCTCTGACCTCCAGGGTATCATCTAAGGGAAAATTAAGTGCCTAGCAAGCCCCTTTTAAGCAGCTCTATAACCCATTCTCCTCTTACTTTGCCACAAATTTTTATTCTCATCTTGAATATTTATTAAAAAATGTAATATATTTCTGTTGTTTCAATAATTTCTGTAGTAATAATTTTAGAAATAATTCAATCCCCCAAAAAATGAACCCTTACAGTATTACACTCACAGAAAATTTTGAAATTTAAAGTTATAATACTTATTGTTCCAGGCATGTCTCACTAAGAGAGTTTGAAGCATAAAATACATTAGGGCAAACTTCTGTTCATATACATAAACTGGAAATATAAATCAAAAGAGAGAAATTCACATTTGGTATTTTTGACTACTAAAGAACTTGTCCATAATTTTTAAATGGATATTAGAAGATATCAAATCATTATGTACTTATATTCTACTATATATACAAGTAAAGGAGATAAAAGTTTTATTTTAAAATATCAACGTGTTCAAAGTTCTGAAAATTAACTTTTCTTACAATTATTTAGACTTACACATAAAAAATTCTAGATGTCACCTTAAAAACATATAAAGCGGTATACAGGTTTTTTAAATTCTTTAAGGGAATAAGAAAGCAAATTTTAAAGACCACTGACATACTTGACTTTTAATTTTTTTACTTGACTAGCATCCATTCTTCTTTTTCCTGAGAATGACACCCAGTTTTCCTTTGGGAAAGCACCTCTGCCCATTCCCTGCCTACCTGATTTGATAGAAGTGAACACACACGCCTCCTCCTGGCTCTAGTGACTTGTTCATGGGGGGAAACAGAGGGTAGTGTTACCAAAGTCAAATTATCAGACTCTTTCCCAGGACTTTGACTGAAATATTTGAAGGAGGTACCCTCTTTGGCTGTGATTGGCAAAGTGGCAGAATATAATCCTGCAGAGTCTGGTGGCCTCAACTGAAAGAAAGCCTGTCTACGAAAGGACCTAACACAGAAGAAGCAGAGTTCAGAGGTGAGACAGATTCTGGAAGACACCTTGGGAGCACCAGACCAGACTCAACTCTTCAGTCACATAAGCCAATAAATTCCCCTTCCTGCCTAAATCAGTTGAGTGTCTGTAGCTTGTAACCAAGACAGATGCCACTACTCCGGATCCATCCTCAATTTTTCAGTTCGAGGAGATGACCATTTCTAGGCTTTGGGTCCTGCTGCTGCCTGGCTCTGGTGATTCCCTGAGACTCTGTCCCTGGGTCTTTCAAACCACTGCTCCAGAGCTAGGGGGCCATCGTAACAACCAGCATCCACCAAAACACCAACAGAACCGAAGACTCCTAAGGCCCTATGATGCTGCAGTTATTTCAAATGGTGGACTTGCAATTCAGGCCACCTTAGAGAATCTGCAGAGTTCTTGACTCGGTGTAACGAGAATATATTCAAGCCCAGCTGGCATGGTCCAGCGGTTGAGAATCAACTTTTGATCCAAGAGATTGTGGTTCGATTCCCGGTCAGGGCACATGCCCAGGTTGCAGGCTTGATCCCCAGTCCGGGATATGCAGGGGCAGCCGATCAATGACTCTCTCATCATTGATGTTTCTGTCTCCCTGCTTGTCCCTCTCCCTTCCTCTCTCTGAAATCAATAAAAACATATTTAAAACATATATATATATGTGTATATACATATATATATATATATTCATTTTCAAGGTGGAGATAATTTCATACACCACTGGGCAACCTCTCTGGGGTTCAGGTAAGCAATAGCTTTCAAAACCCAAATACATATCAACATGCTAACACCTTAAAACTGAATATATGCTTTATATACGTAAAATATGTGTGGAAGAAAACATCAGTTATTAATAATATTGGTTCCTGAGTGGCTGAAGGACAGACATAGGATAGAGACTCTCAATGTAGACCTTCTGTACCTTCTGATTTTTTAAGGTAGTCTATTTAAAATTTGAATAAAGTTAGAGTTTATCCAAATAAATAAAGTGTACAAATTCTTTCCATTAGCAATTTCTCAACTAAGAAATTATCCCATAGATACATTCATAGCAGTTCACAAAGATGGGTGTAGAAAATGTGCCCTGAGCAATGTTTTCAGTAATGAAATAACAGAAAAACATTTGAATATGCATCAGTCGGGTAAGGACGGCACAGTGATAAGAGGCACGGACTTTAACCACAAATTATAGGCTAATGGCAGCGCTGGACCAGCTCAGAACAGCCCATGAGGACCAACTGTTCCATGTCCAGGAAGGCTGCAAACATCAATAAACATAGCCATTATTAACAACTAAGTTATTTAAACTTACAACTAAATTATTTAAATATAAGCAAATAAATAAATATTAAAAATAAAACTCATCCCTTCCTAATTATCTTCCTACATTTTGCAATTACCTATGATGAGGTTTCTTTACATATCTCTACATATCTCTTAACATGTTTCGAGTGTAGAAAATGCAATATAATTGTGCGCTATTGCACATTACCCAGTTCGGTGGTTAATGACATCAGCTCGGTAGCTTGAAATCAGCCAGGGAATTTATACCAGGGAAATCAGCAAACACTACAATTCAGGGATTTTCTTTGTGAGGAACCCACTGTCAAACACTTGCCAGGATACCACTCTCTTTAAGAAGGTACTAAAATATATAGGACATCAAAAAGATATAGAGTAACAAGTGTAGGCAACAATATAGAAAAATTAGACCCTCACACATTGCTAGTAGGAATGTAAAATGGTGCAGCCTCCTTGGAAAACAGTCCAGCAGGTTCTCAAAAGATTAAACATAGTTACCATAGGATCCTGCAATACCACTCCTAGGTATCCACCTGAGAAAAAGGGAAATATATTCTAACACAAAAGCTTACAAATGTTCATAGCAGCATTATTCATAATATCTGAAAAGTGGAAGCAAGCCAAGTATCCATCAACTGATGAAAGGATAAACAAAATGTGACAATGGAATATTACTTGGCAAGAAAAAGGAATGAAGTACTGATACACACTACAACATGAATGAACCGAGAAAATGTGCTAAGTGAAAGAAGCCATTCACAAAAGACCACATTTACAGGATTTCATTTATATGAATGCCTAGAATAGTCAAGTCTATAGAGACAGAAAATATATCAGTGGATGCTTAGGGCTGAAGAGGGAGGGGAAATGGGGAGTAACTGCTAATGGGTGTGGGTTCTTTTTTGGGGTGATGAAAGGTTCTAAACTTGTGGTAATGGTTACACAGCTCTGTGAATATACTCAAAAAGCATAGAGATGAACACTTTAAAAACGTGAACTATATGGGATATAAATTATATTTCAATAAAGCTCAAAATAAAAATCTATAGGAAACATCTCAGACATGGATTCCTGGGACCCAGGTCATAGGGGGATAACAACAGAGAAACAAACTGCACGGGCTGGTCCTAGGACACACTGAAAAGAGAAAACTGCGATTTCCCAGGGGGACCCACCAGACCAGAGGTCCCCAACTGCAGGATTTAGGTTGTCAGTCCACAGGCACGTTCAATTTCAAGCCAACATGCTATAATTATGAGTTTTCATATTTTTTAATCCAGCCTTCCAATGTTTCTTGCTATAAGAAGACAGCAGCATGACCTGGTCCCCATGACCAGTGAGTGCCAAGTTACGGTCACACCAGGCACAAGCTCCCCATGGCTCCCTGTCACCTCCTTTTAACTGGGGCTGAAAATCCATTACCACTATCATCACAGTGATCCCTTATTTCACAGAGCTGGGTGTGAGTGCACACACTCTTCCCGTTTCACAGGCTAACGAGGTACCTCTGCATCAGAGAGCCAGTTTTTCCTCACATGTCAACCCCGCTTTTTCACATGGCCTGTCTGGCCCTGGTGGGTACAGGAAGATGCAATTCCTGTGTTAGCTCCTAAGGAAGGCAGGACTATGTCTGTTGAATGGTGCACAGTTTATCTCTGCTGGAGCACAGATGTGGCATAAAATAAAGCACTTAGTAACCACATGGTGAGGGTGAGAACAAATGCAGCCAAAGCCCAGGTCCCGGAGTGCTTTAACCCCACAGACGCCATTCAAAGCCAACAGAGCACACAGAGCCCAGCAACCCGTCCTTCTCTCACCCCACCCCCTTTCTGCACACCGCCTACCCTCCCCCCTCCCAATCACGTTTAACTCAAAGCAAAGTTTACCCCCCAAGCCCGTCACAGGATGGACTGGGGAAGGTGTAATGGCCTTTCATGTGGGTTCTCCTGCCTGGAGTCCTCCAGCCCACAGCATGGCCCCCACCATAGTGTTGCCACTTACGCTTGATGAGGTATCCGGAGGAATGGGCTGCAACCATGTGCAGGATGGTGCAGCCGTCCTGGTCCTTCTGGTTGACGCGGCCTTTCCACTCGGGCTGGTGCTCCATCAGCCACCGGAAAAGGTGGTTTTCCCCTGCAGGGCATTAACAGGAGTCATTGATGCTCTTTCCAGCATACAGAAAATCACCAAAGCATGTCCATGTGTACTACACCGAGGGAACCAAGTGGGGAGTCCAATACACGTTGCCACTCACCACACACGGGCATGGGAGACACAGGAGCTTGTGCATTGAAAGGATGAGTTTTAGAAAGTTATCCATAATGTGCTTAAGTCAGACTCCCCAAAAGCAAAGCCTAAACCTAAGATTCTTGGCCACATGACTTAACTGAGTGAGGGAGCTCAGGAGACAAGAGTTGGGGGAGCAGGACAGGACAGGGGAAGGAGGCAAGCAGAGATGTGGTCCCAGCGGCATCCATCTCAGCCTGACCCCACGGGAAGCTCTGGAGCATGAACTGTACCGCAGAGCTGACCCACCTGGAGGCAGAGGCTGACCTCTGTACCCCCAGGTGAGTCAGTTGAGACCTATGTGATGTCCCTGGGAGAAAGGTGAGGTTGAGGGAGAACCGCCCTGGGATGTAATGCCTGTTGGCAAAGAGCAGTTCTCTATTCCCTGTCGGAGCCTCCAACACGCAGAGCAAGTGGGGGTGAGTACTGGTTGTAAAGAGGACCTGGACAGGGTCTAAGAGTGCCCATCAAGTCAGTAGCTCCGAACAGATGACTGCACTACTATCAATAGGACATATATTTTAAATGATTTTCCCAGATTCCTTTCCTTGTAGCTCCCGGGATTGAGGAAAAGTCACACACATCTGCCAGCTCAGTGGACACCACCTGTCACCATGTCAGTTTTCCTCTCAGAAATGAATAGGAGATGAACTTGAAGACCTGATCTTATCAACACCCGCCTATACCCACAGGGGCTACTTTAAAGAGTGGACACAACGAGAATCGTGACTTTCTTACCCAGAGGCACACTTCTCTGGGCTCCAGATTCCTAATTTGAAAGTGGGAAAACTGGATTAGATTGCTTTCAATCAAACTTTACTTGGTGTTTTATCCACCAATCCCTGTGTAAGAATAAAATCTCTTAGAGGTTCCCCATCACATAAACTGAATGATGGGAACGCAATCTGGCTGCAGCAAAGATGGGGGCCCAAGTCTTCAAGCCTCTGGAGACCACCACTCCCTCACTCCCAGGGAGATGGCACAGCCTAGAAGAGGAAGACTGTCTAAACCAGTTCTCTTGGCCCTTCCTGCTCTAAAATGATACGGTACATGTCCAACAGTGATGCCACACCAGCTTGGAAAGGAAAAACAAGCTCTGATCTAAAGTATAAAACGTGTGTGTGTGTGTGTGTGTGTATTAATAATAAAAATATTTTAAAGACTTTTATGGAAACAGGAGTCCTTTAAAAGAACCACAAGCCATCTGTATCAGCAATAGCCAGTGTTTCCCTTGGAAATCTACCCTACCCCCCACTCGCCCTGCAGTCAGCCCTCTAGGCCACAGAGAAAATGAACCTGGACCTGGACAACGACCACATCTGCCTTGGCCAATGGGAGGAAACTCCACAGATCTCCTGGAAGCTCTGCCCAGCAGGGGCTGTCTGTCTGTCCCATCCCAGTCCTTGGGTCCCGAGGCTTCACCCTACAGCCAGGATCTGTTTAGGAACACAGAATCCTTTCAATCCAGCCTCCTATAGCTGCAAGGTCCCAGGAGAAATAAAAATGATGCCGTTTCCCTGCTGCCTTCATGCATTTGAATAATCAATCACTGAATATTCAAAACATCTGAATGGTCTCCACTCCAGTGGCTAAATTCTGCTCTTACTTGAGCTCAGTGGAGCACCAGAGCTCAGAGCTGGAAGGGCACCTGGGAGGCTGTGGAACCGGGAGGATACTCACTTGCTTGGATACAGAGCCGCATGAGGGCATGGAGAGGATACGGTCCTATCGTCTCAATACTTGCACCAATGGAGATAAGCCACTGGACTAACTTGGGCACCTGTTCCATTTTCTCATAAGATCCAATGAAGACATATTCCTAGAAAATAGAACACACAGGAGCAATCATGAAAGTCACTGTATCAACATGAAACTTCCAACTCCTTCGCCCATAAAAGTTCAAAATCAGTAAAACCTGGATTTGCTGTGGCCCAAGCCTAAGATTATTATAAATAATAAATCTGCAGTTAGGCAGCAGAAAAAGAAGGTCCCAAATCCAAGCCCAAAGGAAAATCATACGCTTCACAAAACCACCTTACCTCAAAGAGGCTCTTCAGTGATAACTCTGGGACACGGATGTTTCTCGGTAGTCGATCTTTCTTTGCTGACAGAAGTAGAAATGACTGATGAGGCAGAAAAAGAAAGGGTTGGAATAATGTGTTCTCCACATAGGCTACTAGAGTAGAAGTTACCGTAAGCTTTAAAACGGACAAACAAAAAACACCCTCCGGCCCTGTCTCTTTCAAGCCACCTGGCTAGTTTTTTAGCCTGAGCCATGATAATCAAAGTCTCCCTGCGTAGCCAACTTCCTGTTCTTGTGGAGAGCTAAACTCTCATCCCCCAAATCCTGCTGAGGACAGAAGCAGTGGATATCAAGCAGGACTGCAGAGAGCACGGTGGCAGTGGGGTAAGAAAGTTACTCCCTGCAAAGTTCTGAAATCTGAGCAAGCAGAAGAAACAAGTCCTTTAGAAATAGCCCAATTAATTCTTTGGCACGTAAGCCCCAAGTCTTGGGGGCCCATGGGACCCTATCAAGTGGTAGGTTGGAGTTGGCTCCTATCAGCTAGTGAGAGTTGACTGTGCACATCTCTTCCCAACTCCAAAGCCTGTGGTTGTTTTAGTAGCTTGAAACTGGCCAGGGTCGAGAGTATTTACACCACAGAAACTGGCAAACACTACATATCAGGACTTTTTTTTTCTCAGAAAGCACCTTGTTAAACCACTGAAGAAACTGAATCCCAGAGAGGTTAAGCAATTTTTCCTGGGTCACACAGATAGCAGCACATCCTTAGAGGCCCTTTATTGAGATCACCCAGGTATGCCAACAGGTCTGAGTCCCAGGCACTGGTGTGGCCATGACTGGAGACCCAGTCTCAAAATCAACTGCCCTCATGTGTTCTCTTGCCAAGAACTGAGCCTATGACCATACTTGCTTTCAGTTTCTTTCAGTTTGATACCCACTCTCAACCACTCACTTTTTCTTGTATAAGTGCCTCTGTTTTTAATATTTGAAAATGACCTGGGCCCCACTGCTAGTAGGATATTGGACCTGCCACTTGGGCTGGATTCCTGGGTCTTCCTAGGCTGCCTGTCTTCTCAAGATCTTTTATTATGGGAATAAGCTTCCAGGAACTCATGGCTGGACACCCTGAAACCATACCCATAACTGTATATGTATGCTAAGAGAGTTCCACCTATTTCATTAGACTTTCAATGGGGTACATGCCCTTCCCAAACTTGAAGAATTCTGTATTCTAAAGTCATCCAGACTGTCTGGCTCTAGAGTCTTTACAGGTGGCCCTTGCTTTGGTGACTTTCCTGGAATTCAAAGCTTTAGAAAGCTCAGTGGGTCCTTTCTAATGAAACTCCCAGCCTTGGCCAGCCCATTCTCAGGTGCACTTACAGGCCGCCACCAAGGACAACTACTATTCAGCGAGCATTTAGCAGATGCCAGATATTATAAAACTTCTTTAGCTCAGTTCCTGGCACACTGTAAACCCCGAATAAACATTAACTGATATTCTTAGTAGGTGCTCTTGGTCCATTATTTTGAATCCTCACCAAAACCCTGAGGAAATAGGTTTACATCCTGCAACTTACAAATGAGGAAATGAGGCTAAGAGGGGAAGTAATTAGTCCAAAATAGAAAGTGGAGGGTTAGGATTCACAGAGACATCTGTGTGACACTGTAGCCAGGCTCTACAGTCCACTCTACTACTCCATTCCATGGAGTCCTGGCTCTGGGTTTGGGTCCTACAGCCTCAAAGCTACCTCTGGGTAGCAGGCCCTTAAAGCTGCACAGAAACCCTCCAAGCCACACAGGCAGGTCACCAGGGCCCACACTAGCAAATGCAATGTGACAGGATTATGAAGATGGACATGCATTGTTTCTTTCCCTCGTTCCATGTCACCATTAGCACTTGGACTTCACATTCCTTTGATGACAATGGCAATACAGAACAAGAAGTGAGGTTGCCACAAACTAAGAATATTTCCTATCTTTTAAAAAAATGGAAGTTGGCTAATTAATATATCTCAGTGACTTTCTATCTTTAATGATGTTATAGTTAAGGTTATTTTGGCATCAAAATAAATAATAAATTACAGTCCCCCAGGCTGGCAGAAAGAAACCACTCAATGTAGAACGTGCTTTCTCCACAAAGGAGCCATCTCCTTTTACTTACGTGCCACAATCCTTTCTTTGCCAACTTTTCTATTACAGATTGCCACACTTCTGTGGAGAATCCAGTAGTGAAAATGTGATCAAAGCAGGGCAAGAAACTTTGCAAAACAATGGGGTCATCTGAAAGAAAGTTCCATCGTTTAGAAATTTTAACCTGGGGAAAGTCTAAAACATTTGGGAAAAGATCTTCCAATTAAGACCACACACAGACAAATGGTAAATTAAAGATGTGTGAAGTTGTAATAATCTTGAATTCAGGTGACAACCAATCCCCTAAGAGTCAGACGGCATAATGTGAGCCACCATTCACTTAGTTTTTCTATTCACCAAACCCAGTGACCTGTGTTTATATTTAATCTCTCAAACAAACCACAAGGGTATGGCTATTATCCCCATTTATGCGGGAGGAAACGGAAGCTTAAGGGAAGTTTCACAATTCACTTTCTTGAAGAAAAATGTGACAAATCTTACTCTCATCAACAGATGAGAAACCATCATGAATGAGTGTCATGATGATGGCAATACAGAGCAAGGAGCAAGGCTTCATGGGCATCATGCTGCTACTTCATGACCAAAACCGAGACTGGAACCCACATCTGACAACTCTTTTAGTCAACATACATTCTTTTAACCTGGGGTCTGTCAACCTTGCACCCGTGATCCTTCAGACCACATTTCTCAAACCCACAGATAAGAACACCCAAGCGGACCAGCCAGACAGAATAACATGGCACCTCTTCCAGGGCCATTAAGTTCCAACAATAAGTAAATATCAAAATAATCATCTATTATATAAAAGGATACAAAAGTTCCGTGTTTTTCAAAATTTAGAAACTGGGCATGGGCATACTTTCCCCCTCCCAATAGGAGTACCTGGATAGAAAAGTCTGGGATGCACGGCCCTAAGAAGTCCTGCTAACTGCTCCCTCTAAGGATGGGGGCAGAATGGAAACCATCCAGATTTCTTCAAGGGACAGTCACCAAGAGCTGTTGTATAGCCAGCCTGCCTTCTGACATTACAATGACTTCCAGCAGATATAGACAAGACAATGAAGAAGTGTAGGGAAGGACAAGCCATCTGGTTCTGAAAACGGGAAGCAGGCTGCAGGCACTGTCTGCAAGTGGACAGCTCAAAATCTGAGGACCTTCTACCTCTCTGTCTAGGGGACATGCTGTGCCCACCTCTAACCCTGTCCCACTTACTGCCTGGCACTGCTCTTACCCCTCTCTGTGCCTAACTTGCCAAAACCTGTAGGACTCCACCCACAGATCAGAGAAGTCACTTTCCCACAATTGCAATGGGAATGGTTGGATGCATGACAGCTGAATCTGTTGCCAGCAGTAATTTCCCCACTTCTGAAAGCTGAAGACCACATGCCATTTTTCACATTCTAACATCTCTAAAATTGGGATATGTGTTACAATCGATGTTGCCTTTCAATGGCAGAACATTGACTAACGGCACATCTTAAATCAGCGCAATCTTAAATCTGATCAAACATAATATTTGAAAACACTGGCCTGGTTACTGGCGGAACTTTAGAAGGAGGCCCTTTGTCACTGGCAAGGAGTATACTACATGTGCTTTATGATTCTCTGTCCAGGCCACTGACAAAGCACCTCAAGGGCCAGGTCATTAGAGTAAGAATCTAGAGATGCTCAAGGCCTCCCAGGCATCCCTCCCAGACTGAGCAAAGGTCGTCAGCTGCAGTGAGCATCGCAGCCCCGACACCATCAGCTTCATAGGACCCTCTGCCAGCCCTTTTGAGTTATTTTCATAGCAAACCAGAATATTTTCTGAACACATTGGAGAAATATGCAAAATTCACATGGAAGAGCAAAATCACATAAAGTAAGTAGTATAAATAGGGAAAACTATGAATAGCAATAGGACTTAGTCATTTTTACAAAGGCATGAGCCACCAAAGCTTTCAAAATGCTTTCTAATGTGAAAACAAGTTTCATTCAAACTGCATAAATTAGCAACCAAAAAAACACCTGTAATTATCTCCCCAGGAGCCTGAGTCTGCAGAAGGAATTCAAATAAAATAACTAGGACTGTAATATTTTAAACAAAAATACAATTTAAAAAAATAATTTAAAAAAATAACTAGGATGGGGAG